TTTCAAAATTCGCTATAAAATTAATTTCTTGAAGGATTCTTGTAGAAATATCACCAATTATTAATTAAAGTATCCTCTTTTTAATGCAACAAGCCGTTTTGAAAAATCGCTTTTAGTTTTTGAGAAATAAATTTTTGAAATGATCGACAATTTTTTCGAATTTTGCTATTTCCGACGATTAAGTTTTAAAAATTCGTATAAAATCCACTTCTTGGAATATGAGTATGAAAATTTCCCAAAGTGTTAATAAGAGTGTCCTCTTTCAAATGAAGCAACACGTTTTGAAAAATAACATTTAGTTTTTGAGAAAACAATATTGGAAGTTTTGATAAAATTTTCGATGTTTCAATTTTCATCGATAATTTTCAAAATTCGCTAAAAAATTAATTTCTTGAAGGATCCTTGTGGAAATATCACCAATCATTAATTAAAGTATCCTCTTTTTAATGCAACAAGCCCTTTCGAATAATCGCTTTTAGTTTTTGAAAAATAAATTTTTGAAATAATCCACAATTTTTTCGAATTTTCAAATTTTCGCCGAGTAAGTTTTAAAAATTCGTATAAAATCCAGTTCCTGGAATAAGAGTATGAAAATATCCCAAAGTATCAATAAAAGTGTCCTCTTTCCAATGAACCAAACCGTTTTGAAAAATAACTTTTAGTTTTTGAGAAAACAATATTTGAAGTTTTGATAAATTTTCGATGTTGCAATTTTCATCGATAACTCAATATCAATAACAAGATATGATAGACTTAGGCGCACTGCTGTACTACTAATTCGTGTGTATTGCATCAGAAACAGCATTGACTAAATATCTAATACACAAAAAAGTTAAACCCGTCTTATCTTGTCTTGACTAACGAATAAAAATGGTAGTTTCAATAAAGAAGACATTCCACGACGAGTGTACCTATAGCAATACACTGATTTATAGATTGAAAAAAAATAAAACTAACACAGTAAGATAAAAAAAGCTTATGAACTTTTATAGACAAATTTAGTAATAAAACGGTTTGGCCTAACACAATCAAAACCGAAATTCAACTTGACATTTTAAGTGGTCAATAATAAAAACATGTTTTGTTCGCAAATTCTAAACATTTTTTTAAATATTCCATTGCTTGGCTGTGCATTTGAATTTTTGAAGCATTTTGAAATTTTAATTTAAGGTTTTTTATAGGCTTACTAAAACTTAATGTGTCTCTTAAACTAACAATCTCTTAAACTAGGTATACATCATTTATATGTGATGAGCAAATTAAATTGCTCTATTGATTTAAATGAATAATAATAAATAAATAAAAGACAATGTATTTTCCTAATCAAAACACATAATTTATTTATGATTATTTATTAACACCTAAAATTATTTCTTAAAACTACTTATTATTTCGTCCAGGATACCTTTGGAATATCAAAGTGTTCAGTTAAACTATCCAAATGTTGATTAAACTTCTCAACTCTTTCTTTATGGGTCATATTCGCTTTATCCAAAATCCTTTTTGTTTGCTAAAAAAGACAACATAAAATTTCTCGATTTGGATCTATGGTAGTATTAATTAATTAGAAATTCTTACATTCTTTTCTTTCATTTGTTGAAAAGCCATTTCAGCCTTCGTACGTTTCTCAACTTGCCTTTCCGACTCTTTCTCATCTTTCATTTCAGTTTCAATGGTTTTTGCCATAACCTTTAATTTCTCTTTATCCTTTTTCTTCTTCTTTTTATGAACCGATTGATCACTTTTTAATTTTAATTTACTCCGTGAAACATTCGCGTACACATCGGTATTATTAATTTCACTCATTTTATGTAAATAATTTTTAGGTTAGTTCTTTCTGACATTTATAACTGTCAATAAGCATAGGTGCCATAACTTAAAAGTTAAAAATTACTAAGATAATTATTTTGAAGTTTTATTTAAAATGTCATTTTTAATTATTTTTGAAGGTAAAATAAAATTTTTGAAACGATGAACGGCGAAAAACACAGAGGGAAACCGAAAAATCGATTTACATTGTGCTGTTTCTGTTTGGGCGGATCAGGCAGTGATGCCGATTTAAGTAGCGCCACCTACGATTACAGCGACAAATGCGATTACGTAGTGGAGAAATTGACGATAAAAAAGGTACCGATATCAATGTTCGCTACCGAAGAAGATTTGGAAGAAATGAAAAAAAATTCCATGAATTTTAACGAAAAGGTAAAAGAAAAAGAATCTGTCTTATCAAGTTATTACGCTATGATTAATCATAATAATAAAATGAACAAGGAATTTAGCGATTTGGATAAAATAGGAAATGTTGAAAACGATAAAAGCGATAAGAAGGATGAAGAGATTTTATTGAAACCAATTTTGAAACAAAATGAAATGGTAAAGTTAATTTTAGACTTTTTTCGGTGTATTTAAAACTTTGTTGCTTTTGAAATAAAAATAGGCTAAAGTTGATGTTCACCAAGTTGTCTTAGAAGAACCAAATCGTTTTAATCTTACCCCGGAATTACAGGAAACATTAAAGGTTTTGGGAACAAAACGACCCCCTGAAAATTGTCAAGATATTAAACAAAGAATGGGCGTTAAAGTTGTTCAAAATTTAACTAGGTCGATTTCACCAAATGGTAAAGTATCTTTCATTTTAATAATTTTATGAATTATTATCAATTTATAATTACATTCTTTGATGAAAAAAAGAAATTTAAATTGTAAACTGCATACTTTTTTAGGATTCTCAGAATACAGAGTAGTATGGAAATGAATCCTAAATTTTAAGCAGTTTATGTAATAGTATCCTTGTTTATAGATATACATAGTTATTCAACCGATCGAGTTGGGTTGCTCTAGCTCGTGCTGCCTCTAACGGCGAACGAGAAAAACATCATTTATGAATGAATTGAATAAAATTGGAAATCCAACTTGTAGTAGAAGTTGCATACTCGGAATAAAAGATTAATTGAATTTATGTGATTGAACACGAAATTGTTTAACATATAAAATATTTAATTACTTTAAGCATTACATCGAAATATTTTAAAACATATCTGTCCTTTTTTTATAATAGAAAACCAAAAATTAACTTGCTAATTAAATAAATCAATTAGTACTTTTCTCGGATAGAATAAAAAAAAACCAATAATTATTTTCGGTTTAAATTGTAGTAAAAATACAAAAAGTCAGTTTTGATTTTTGTTCGTCCTATTGCAGACTTAATTCCAGACGTGGTAGCGCCGAGCGTTCCTTTGAGCAATTGGCCGACCGACAGTTTAATGGATCACACATATCAAACGAGTATGTAGTATAAACAAAGGTTTTTGCTACTACCCGAGTTTGGATAAACGACTTCACGTATACAAATTCCTTCTTTATTATTTCGTCATTAAGAATTCTTTGGTTAAAATACAAATACGAAAATTAAGAAATATTAATTAGAATCAATTAAATAAATAAAAATAAAGTATTTCTGATTTTATTATACCAGTGTTTCTAAATTGATGTGAAAGATTTCAAGGATGATTTTTCAGCGAAAATTACGGGGTGTCTTTCATATAACTTTTTGTTCAAAACCCCTTCTCCTCCAAGTTATAGCCCTCTAAAATTAAGGGAAAAATGTGCAACTTTCTTATCTCTTGACATTTTACAACTAACAAATTGTTAATTTGATCATAAAAAATAAAATAATGCCGAGATCAATTTGACATAACTTCATTTCTTTGACTAATAATAATTAATCTCTGAATTAATTCACTTGAGCCCAAGGACAGTAGAATCTAACAGGACTGCTACATCCATTGTATTTTTGTAGTCGACTACGGATTGGTTGCCCGCACTCTACGTCACACTATTTGCCACGCCTGGTAAATAACTGTCTATGTTTTTAGAGGTTATATGAAGGACATTAATACGTCTAAAAACATAAAACTTCAAAACTAATATGAATACGTCTAGGATATAACCTCTAA